CACACACACACACATTCTCAGACACAGCGACGGTTGCTAAACCAACAGCCTGGGGCAGTGTTGGTACTGCGAGCGTTAGCACTAAGCCACTGTGCAGCGTGGGAAACGCCCTATTACTGCGCTGCTAACAAACAGATGTGTGACCACAGCATCCTATGACGCTGATGCCCCACCTGCTCAATGCTGCTCTACATACCAGCCTGACATGGGAGCTGTGCTCAGGGTTTCCGGGTACTGGCCTGTACCACTTCTAAGCTCATGTCTATAGTTGAGGTATTTATGTTTTTTTCAACTTCAACTTCAAAAAGCACCAAAATGTCAGTTAGGTTGAAGTAATCACATTCAGGAACTTTCTCCTAAATAGAATAATCAGAAATGAGGTTTTTTGAAAGCTTTCAAAACTTTTTATACAATTCTCTGTCTTTATTATGGTTGTTTAACATATTTTTAACAATCAAACATACTAATAGGCTTGTTTTTAACAAATTTAGGGTTCCCTTCCTTGTTCTTTTAACTCTTTTTGTTTTAACTTGTTTTATTGGCTCTTGTGTTCAGATCTTCACTGTGCTCTAATCTTGTCAGATTTTTAGATAGATATAAACCTAATTAATAATTAATTTTAAATAACAGTTTGATTTAGTTTTCTCTGCAGAAATGAATAAAATGCTGAGATAAAGGACTGCTGTATGTATTTGATGTTTTATTTTAAGGTTGTCTTCCACCTAATTCAGAAATCCTAGCAGCTGTGGCGACGCCTAGAGCCATTGTTTGCTCTTAAATAAATTACAGTGCGTGGTGGTCCATTTTGATTCAATTTACGGTTGTGTTTTCATGTCAACAAAAATGTCACTTCTTTTAAACATCAAAGTTGTTTCCCACACTGATATGTGCAAAGGAGGGTGTTTTTTTTTAACAAGATAAGAACTGATGGACACATCAAGACCTCATGTGGCTAACATACACCTCAGGCCTTGGTCCCCATTTCTTTAAACACAGATAAACAGAACCATCGCTCAGGACCGTCTGCCTCCAAACCTACAGCTCACCTCACATCTCAGCGACACGTTTGACTTGTTCATAACCTTTCCAGCTTCTATTGCGGTAAAGTCTGACTCATCCCTGACTCCTGCTCCTCCTTCAACCCTGCTCTGTCCAGCTATTATTCAGTGATCTGACTATGTATTAGAAACTAATTTGTGGTGGAAAAACACAAATATGTCCTTCCTTCATTGTCTCAACTTTGCTCATACACTCTGCCATTTACAGTTTTATTCCTTCTTCTGTTACTCCCCCATCACCTTCCACCACACTGGTCAGGAAACACCCTGAAATGCAATCAGCTGGTCACATGATACCAGTGCCAGGCAGTGACAGTGAGAAACACACGGAATGAAATATGCATACAACACACACACACACACACACACACACACACGTGCACACATGCCAACAGAATAAAAGACAATTTCCTACCTCTTTAAATTAGGACTGGTTTAATAATAGGGGTTAGAAAGATTGAAGCACTTAATGGAGTCTTTTGCATTAAAAAGCACAATGACTATTTACTCAAACCTCATTGGTTTTGTCTAATACGCTCTTGTTCTACAAAGCATACACCTTAAAGCTGCAGTAGGTAAATTATATTTTGACATATGTGCTGAAACTTTCACTATATCCTGACAAAAAAAATGGTGTGCAAGAATCTACGGGGCCTGAATGAAAACAACCAATCAGAGCTGAGAAAGATACCGAGGTTTTTATAAAACTTACCTGCTGCAGCTTTAGAGAAATAGTAAAAAGTTTTGGGAAATACACAACAACAACAAATTGGATTCTTTTAGTTAATTAGCAAGCTTTAGCAGGTACTATATGTTTGAAGCATTGAGTGAGCCGGGCTAGCTGTTTCCCCCTGCAACAAGTTACAGAAGGAGGAGGATTACAGAACAGGTATTGCGCATGAATTTGGTGAATTTGATTAAGAAACTCACTTTATGTGGATGAAGCTCAGTCTAATAGCAAATCTTCACTATCTGGCTGCACGCTTGGCAGTGACTCAGTTTCCATTCAGTTAAAAGAGGCAGTGGATCAGGTAAAAGCTAAGGCATTACGTGGATCAGCCCTACTCTTAAGGCTGAGATGAATGGAACCCTCCCACTGCACAAACACACACCTTTTACTCATGAACACCTCGGGCAGAGCTGTGCCGCTCTATAAACCAGCAGTGCAAAACCATTTTAAGACGTCAACCAGGACTTTAACACGAGGTCCGAAAATATAGATCTGTGAGTGTAACTGTGTGTTTTATTAAATAAACAATGTTAGTGTGGGGTAGATAGAGAATAAGAAGGAGAGAAAGGAAATCCCTGAAGGTGAAACTGAAGTAAATCAGAGGGAAGTTTACGTAGCCGGTCAACAAGAGATCAGTCTCTGTGAGCGGTTCACTTCCAAACAGTGTGGGCAGGTGTCAGACTGAGTTTACTGAAGCTAATCAGATTACAATGTCCACTAATCTGAGACAGCAGCAGACTCTGACCTCACACACACACACACACACTAAGGGTGAATACGTTGTGTATATAACAATAGTTTATGATGAATTAGGACGGGCAGAGCAGCGTGTATGTGCTGTCAGTTTAGTTTAACTTTACCAAACTCAAATCACCATGGTGACTAGACAGAAACTGCCATATATCTCCACATTTATACTAACTGAGACAGAGAACTTGTACAGGAATTCCTTCTATGATATTAAGTTCTGCTCTTTTCTATTCATTATCAAGATGTGCCAATCAGATAGACAAAAACAAAATATATATATTATATATATTAAAAATATATATAATCTGATACGATCCATTAACCTAAACTTTTACACAAATGGTTAACTAAATTGGTGCTATGTATTTTTTTAAAAAGACTGCATCGGACTGGTGTCGGTATTGGCAGACACTGAAGGTTGCAGCATAGGTATCAGACAGAAAAAGTAGTATTGAGCCATCCCTAAACTTTATGCCTCTGTGTAATGGAATATTTACATCTTTCCTGTCTAAAAACTTTGCATAAAAATAATGTTACAAAGTTCCTGAATTGGGGTGTCCTAGTAGCTAACCTGGTAAAGCTGGCGTTCCTTGATTGTTTCTGTAACTTGACCCACTGATAAAATTCCCCAACTTTCCCACACCTTTCGCCAAATGATTTAATTTATTTAAGAGATCCAATGACTATCTATAAATACCATTCTGTGTCTCACTTTCTTCCTTAATCAGATCTTTCACCAATCTCCGCTCCAGCTGTAGTGGTGCTACAGTAAAGAAAGCCTGTCAGGTGAGTTTGTTGATGTAATCACAGCCACACACCCAGTCCTTGTTTAAATCCAGATAATCTGAGGTGTCTCCGTTATAAACAGTCATTAAAAACACTGTGATGAAGAAGATCAGTGTTAAAGATTTAAGAGTGCCATCAGATTACACAAGCTTACTTTTGAACCTACACTTAATAAAGGACTAGAATTACAAATGAGTAGAATTACTCTTCATGCTCCAGCTGCACACCTAAACAGGCATTAGACAGGCAGGGTTTGCATTCAACTTATGTGGCTTAACTTTACTCAGAGAATGATCAGTTCCTCCTTCCACTGAGGAGAGAACAGGGGGAGGATCAGTTCGAGCTCATGCTTGTTATTTAGTCAAGATTGACGGGCTCTAACTTTATCCACTGGAATTAGGGGAGCACAGACTAAAGAAGATTTTTGAAAAATAAACTTACTAGCAATTCATCATTGGGAAAATGGTCAGTAACTTTGGGCAGCTATAGCTATAAGCTATAAAGTAACGTGTGATCATTGTACAGATTTGGGACGAGACAGTGGGCTGAATTTCAGGCGCCTATTTAAAAAAATGAATGATTCAACTGAATGAAAATCCACAAAAGTCAATTTGCTTTACTATCAAAGTGGCCAAAGCTCAGGTTGTTACTTTTTAAACGGATAAACTTTCCTGAAAATATGTCTACAAAAGGTCACAGAATAACGTCTGCAGTCATTAATATGACATACATTGGTCTGTGAAGCTGACTGTAAATGGATCAACTGCGTTCCTCATTTTACTGCTCAATTTGATTGTTTTGTCAAATGTAGTGGTAAATTAAGGCCTCCTACATTAGCCATGAGGTACATTTACACATTTGATATAAGCAAATGTTACATTTTGTCTGGATTAAATATGTTAATAGTGTTCAGGGAAATACTGTTTATTTGTTGCATTCATGTTTGGAGGCTACATAAGAGGCTATATATTTGAATATTTGGGCAGAAGTCTACATACAATGTCTCTACATTTGATTCCAATTCCTAACATAGGAAGACTATCACCAACAGAACCTTTTACACTGCTGAATTACAGAGCGTGCAAGTACTTAGAGCTTGTTTACCATCATTATGTCCACACACCCATCAGACCACACACTGGCTTTAACAGGCCTTACATCAGGGTAACTTTGTCTCTCTAGAGAAACTAATTAACTAGCTTTTTCCATAAAGCTGACAGAAAACTGCCTGTCTCTATACAGAGGGCATGGTTTATTTAACGGGACAGTGGTCCATTAGGGATAGAGAGATTATTGGCCTTGACTTATCTGATTGCTGATAAAATAAGTACATCTTACAGTGTGCTACTTTGGCTCTGATGCAGACGTTTGTCACCACTCTTTAGTCTCGCTTAATGTCCCGCCCACAGCACTCTCTTTTTAAACGTCATGAGTAATAGTAGAGTCTCTTTTGCAGCATATCCTTAAATTACTCAGATTTCTTTTTTACTCAATAAAAGTAGCATTACTGCAGTGTAAAAATAAGTACAAAAGTATTAACGTCAAAATATACTTAAAGTACCAGTTGTAAAAAAGCAGAATGGCCCAAAGGTTTGTATGTTTTGTCTGGACCCTCTACTACTGATCTCTGCCAGTGAAAAGCCGGCTTCCAGAAGCCACACACTGTATCTCTCCCCCTCTTACACTCTATATAATTTAAACCTCTCTCTGTCTCTCTCCCTCCCTCTCTTTCACCCCAACCTTTCCTTTCTCCAACCCCCCTCAGCTTCATCGCTTTCTAGCCCACTTCTGAACAATTCCAGTCAGTGTTGAGGTCCTGTTTGCCCACCAGTCAGCTGATGTGAGACCTGTGACCTCCCGACCTCCGCACAAACAGACGCTCAGTCAGTTCAACCACTGTGCATGTGTGCGATGATGAAAAAAAAATACTTGATTGTATTGACTCCATTGTGTAAATCATAAAATTATTATATTCTTTAAAAAAAAAAAGAAACTTTGAAATTGTATTTAGCACTGTAATACTTTTTGGTTCTTCCATTTAAATTTACAATTAGACAATTGTGTGGAGTGCTCTAGATGCTTTGAGCTTTGATCTGTAGGTTTGGTGTTGCAGTTTGAGTTAAACTGTCTTTTGACTTGTCTTGTCCCTGATTTTCAAAGCTGAACCTTACAGCTTGGCTAGGGTCAATGTCAGGTGTGAGGCCAAAGGGTAAGAGGTCATATGTGAGCTCCAGACAGAGGCAGCACACAGACAGGTTACTGATCTCTACAAACATCCCTCAGACTGTGTGAACTCCACTTCAGTTTAAACTCTGTGACTTTTCACTCTTTTTCCTCATAGTCTCTCTTTAAACAACAATTTACTTTGAGTAAAAATCTGACTAAACTGACTCTGCTGTCAGCTTCCAGCTACTAATCTGTAACTCTGTTTGCTTTGTCATTACATTTAATCTGCAAGTCTCGGTCTGTGCCTCACACTGACTCATTAACATTCAACACACATGCTTGTTGATTTCCCTTTTAGATGGTTTCCCCTCGAATTTTCTTTGCCACCAAAGCGCAGTTTCCCTCTGATCTAATGCTGATCTATAGAAATGTAGCGCTGCTTTCTGTTTGCCTCTGTGTCTCTCTCGGAGGAGTACAGCAGCCGTCAGCTCCCCTGGAGACAGGACGAGAGCCAGCCATAGGAGGGGAGCACGGCTTGGCAGCAGACACACACAGGTTGCAGGGGGCATATAAGCCTGCAGTTACCTGAGAGAAGTTTTATTTGTCATTGGAAAGGAAGAAGAAAAGTTATTATGCCACTTTCAATATTTAGGACTGCAAACCATAGTAGTCCAATTTCCATGACATGAACCCAATGAACCCCAAAGTCTTGGCTGAGAGTTGCACAGTCTTCCTCTAGGGGGCAGAGTCTGATTCCCCGAGCTCACATCCTGTCTGTATTAGTCACAATATGCCTTCTTCAGTAAACCTTCAATGCTCTAAAAGTGAATGGGACACGAGTTGCTGCTTGTTCAGACTGTTTGTGTGACTCAGACATCTTGTAAATAATGAGTACATTTTCAAATGAAAGGAGCCGTGTTCTACTTAAGAGCTATTGTGTCACTTCACAACATCCTGTGGCCTTAATGAGGCTTCGGCCCCGCTCCAGGAAGCTGAACACCGGCTACTCCGATTCCACAGATTCACTGCTCGCATGGGACAAAGACAACAGGGCAGGTTGAGATCAACTTGGCCAGAATGGATTACAATGCCGTACAATGCTCTACAATGCGGTGACTGGGGTTCAAACAGAATCTCCACAGTTGAAGCTCATTTGTCTTTGATTTCAGGAGTTTTTCATTAAATTAGAGAAAAGAACATTTTTTTTGAGGGGTTCCAAAAACTAATTTCACAAATTATGGAACCTTTTTTTAGACATTAGAGTGAACATCCAGCTGCCTATGTAAACTGTCTAACTTTTTTATACCTCTTTACCTACTGTGGGGTGTACATACTAGATGGACATAAGCCCTTGTAATTATTACCAATTTTAATGTCACTTCGGTACTGTCATCGGTACGTCTTTTTTGTTAAAAATAAAAAAAATTATTTAAAAAGGAAAAAAAATAGTTTCATAGAAAGACACAGAACTGCTCAAGTCAAATAAACCACTTCCAGTTTCAGGGTGGGTCTGCACGATATTGTAAAGACATCATATTGCAATTGTTTTGACAGATATTGTGATTGTGATATGTATCTCGATTAGTGTGGGAATGATCATTTCTACATCGAAAATTTAACTTGCAGTCTCTACCAAACAAACATGTTTTCTTACCTTTTGAGAACAAGATTTGTAGGCCAGGCCATCTCTCACACACTGTACCTTTATCAAACAGTTTCAGCTTCTGTTAATTTGCATATTGCACTTGCATGGTGCCCCGGTCTGCAACATTCTGAAACCAGTTCACACCAGTGCAACTGGACGAGACAGTGCATCGNNNAACTCCCAGCTTTTAAGGCTTTTTATGTAGCTGGATATAATTTGTAGCGTCTTAAAATAATAGATAATATATAAAATGAGGATAGTGACTTACTTGTACATATTAAGGCTTGTGTCAGACACATTCAAACAGCTTTCAAGGGTGTTTCTTTGATTTCTTGAACACGTTACCATTAAAAGTGATTTTAATTCAAATTGTAATACAGAGTTCTCTTTTTAAGAAATCTTTATCCAAGACCTTTCAAGGACATTTCCCGGGAGATTTGTGATTAAGTGATTAAGTTTCATTACAGGCAGGTGGTCAGCGTTTACGGGACACGTCGCATTAGCTCACTTTCCACTGTTCTCAGTGTTTTTTTTTTCTCTGGTGATTTAACAACAGTTTGCCACAGTTTTTTCTCTAACCTAGGTTTACGTAGGGGATCTGAGTGAGGGGCTAAAATACAGTTAATGTTTCAGGGACAACATAGATTATTTCCAGGAAATGTTGGTCATTTACTGACTGGAAAAGTAGTCTTTAACTTTCCAGGTTCTCCAGGATGCATGGGAACCCTGTAGTAGGTTTTCATTGTAAAGATTATATTACTGTTTAGAAGCGAGTTTTATGCTCGACACATGCCCTATTTTAGTGGGTATTTATTCACTTTCTCTAACAATGTGTATTCGAAAAAGTATTGTGCATTCAACAAAATACAGTGTGATTTTATGATAAAATACTGATAAATAACTGATAAATAGTATTGCCAGTGTACAGAAATTAAACTAAAGAGAATAAATCATATTTAGGTGCTATGCTGGTAGGACTGAGTCATATTGAATTGAATTCAAATAATGAACTGTGTATTGTTGTTATGCATTATATAAAACTAAACTTTTATGATAAATAATTTAGTTTTTTGTTTGTGGTTCATTAATTAAAGATAATTAATGTATCTACTTGTAGTGCTGATGTGTAAATCCTGTAGGTCTCATACTTTAGAACTGTTGGAAGGCGTGTTACTCGTGGTGAGGGGGCCGTTAAAGAGGCTCATGTCCTTTGGGTGGGGCGACTCAACATGTACATGTCAGGGCTCGTGCGAAGTACCTTGGCCAATCTTGATGAAGCCGATGATGATGATGAGTCCGAGCGCCAGGAGCTTGGCCGCGGCGAAGAAGTCCTGCACCCTGGTGGCCGCCTTCACACTGTAGCAGTTCACAAACGTCAACAAGACTGTAGAGGGAGAGGGAGAGAGGGGAGAGTGTAAGTGGCGGCACCCTTATAAGCGCTTTAGTGTGCCTCCCCTGTTTGCTGTCATCAACCACATGAAAAAGGCCCCCTTGCGGCTCTCAAAGCACGCTGGGAGCTGCAGAAGAATTCAGAGATGGTAAACCAATTCTTAAGGGAATCAAATCCTTTTCAGTCTCTTTTACCCACACATGTACAGAGCTGGTAACCACCCCCTCCTGAACACACACACACACATTCATTGGGTTGTCGAAGCGGGCCCTAATTCTGTTCTGGACCCCATTAAAAGTGATTAACTAAAGCAGCAGGTCCCTTCAGAGCTCCTAAATCAGGTCGGGGGCCACAGCAAAGAGACGAGACTGAGCACAATGAGGCTCTGTGTTAAAGAGATCAAGACAAAAAGAGAGAGAGAGAGCCTGAGTACAGTAGAGGGCTGGACACACACACACCAGAGGCTGGCATCCAAATTCACACAAGCATACACACACACAACTGGCTAATAATTGGGCATATGTGTGTGTGCATGCGTGCAAGTGAACACACTGAAACATACTGATCTCAATTCCCACAGAAACAGGTCAAA